TTGAAGCTCAAGCTTCAGCTTTAGCTTCAGTTGTTCTTATCTGTGCAGGATCTCTTGTTGTCATGGAGCGGTCATCTTTGAGATTTTTGTTAATGACCACATGATTTTTATGGTTGATTTTTATCTTTGATTTTATTTGCACTGTGTAGCACTTTGAGATTTTTCTTAATGAAAAGTGCGGTACAAATTGGATTTATTATTATTATTATTATTAAGGTATCTTGCATCGAAACTCTGTCAAGTCAAAGCAGAGTTTTGGTTTCTTTGTGAAAATAGTTCAACCCCAAACCTCCATTCCATAGTGAAAATATGAGGAGAATCAAGACTTTCCTTTTTTCTTTTAGTTTTATTTTGAAAGGAGAAATAATCAAATCATCTTTCCTTATTTATTTATTTTTTGTTTGTTTGTTTGTGGGAGTTTTATGCTGAACTTCTTTACAGCTGGTGTGGAATTTGTAGCATTTGTGAAATTACATGATTCTTTAAAATTACACAAAAGAAATTACCTGAAATTTACTGATATTAGAAAACTGAATTTGTACTTTTAGATACTTAAGTATTTTAGTACTAACTTGAGTATATAATTACCTGAGTAACTTCTACTTCAGGTTGAGTAAGATTTGACTATGAGTATCAATACTTTTACTAAATGTATTACTGTTGAATGCTTTGTCCCCCACAGTCAATCTCTTAGTGTCTATAGGAAAAAGAGGTATACCCCAAAAGAAACACATGCCAAATAAAATAAATAAATAAATACAATTAGGATGGAAAGTAAATGTTTTATACAGTTTGAATATTTAAATCTATGGATCTTTTCCTTTAGCTCAGCATAATTCACTTTGCGTTGCTGTATTAAATCTAACCACAAAAATACACGAAAGCTTCATACATGATTGTTGCAAATTTGCCTACAAAAAAGCCAAAATTAATTATTTGTATCATTAATGCTACTTTTTTATTTCCTCTTATTTGCCACATCTATGCAGGGTTGTTGGGAGGCTAACGTCTATCTCAAGGGGTCATTAGACAACAGGTGGGCTCCAACCTGGACAGGATGCTGGTCTATCACTGTCACCATCACTGCCAGTTTAAGCATATTGAACTTATATCAAGAACCACGTTGGAAGCATTTTACAGTACAATTAAGCTAATTTGTTTTCTAAATGCTTACAGTTTTATCAAATACATGCCGCATGCATATTGACATCTCTACTTAAAACAGCAAAAGAACAAGGTCGTACATTAAGGGGTAAATGTTTGTGGTCTTGAATTGATGAAATGTGGAAAAAGGCATCAATACAGATGCAATGATATACTACACATGTAAATCATCTGAAGTATTTAAACATTCCAGTATATCAAAGCTCCAATATGTTGTATATTTAAAAGCAAATGTTAAGTCGAAAAGAAAGGACTCTGCGTGTGCAGTTTGCTCTGTCTATTATCTTTGGCATTTTTATGTAGTGTCTATTTTTTAGCTTTAAGCTTATCAATATAAAACATTTTTATTTACACATATGAAATTGTAAGAGCTTTCTGATGTAGAGATTTGTCGATCTAAATAAGGCAAATTTGCAAGCATTTTTTTTCCTTTCTGTCTTTCTAAAATTCATTCCCATGGCTTTGAATGTATATCTCTTCATGCAAAGGAAAAAATTAAGTGCGTGTGAGCTGGTACATGTGTTGATAATTTAGGCTGAGAAATGGACTTACCATGTGTTGAACTGAAAGGTTTGCTTTTTTTTTTCAATGACTTGCAGCTACAGACCATGTAACTTAATCCACTTGAGTTCTGCCTGGCACCAGCTCTGCTTTTCCGGCAGCTGAATGGGCCTCAGCGGAGTGTGGGCTTCATGGGCTTTGACTGAGTGTCGGCCTCTAGAAGGGGGAGAATTTTGGACGTCTGTCAGCCTTTGTGTAAATGACGTTCCAGTCCATCATTACCGCAAGCGAAGTGACAGTTCTGCATCAACACTCTTGTTCCCTGCACCTCTAATGCTTTTTGCAGCTGTATAAGGGGAGCAGTTGTTTCCAGGAACAAATAGCTCACATTTAGGGAGAGGTAAAAGCTTAGCTTTCAAGGAGGGAAGTGGGAATTTGAAGTAAACCATGGAGAGAAGCCTAAAATTAGAATAAAAACTGCGGCTGTAAGAAGGAAGGAGCAGAGAATTACTTTGATGGTGCCTTGCAAAACTGTTCATATGTCGTTTTCTACTTTATTTTCTATCAGGCTGCAACCACCAACCTATTTTTTTCTTTTTATTGAAATTTTGATGTACAATATCAAGACATATGTGAAGTCAAAGGTGTTTTTTAAACTATTTAACAATGGAATATTAATTTGAGAATAAATCTATATGCTTAGTGAAGGTCATATAGCTCTGATATTTTGAGTGCAGAGCATTAATTAGAGAAGGGGCTAAGCTTTTCATAATTATTCTAGTGGAGCTACCTAGATCCATAGCTGGGGGGGATGTGAGAACTATTTGCGCTCAGCAAATCTCTGGGTTTGGAAAGACAAAGAAAAAGAGACAAGAAAAAGAACATTGCTAAAAGAAAGCTGATGATGACGGGGAAGACCACACTTGGAAGAAAGAGCTCTGGTAGGATGTGACCATAAGAGAACTATGTGATGGAAAAAAAAACCAACACACAACCCCGAACACACAATCCTCGCTGTAAAACATTACACTGGCAGAATCCACCAGATGTTCACTTTTCAGCAGGAGACGAACCTTAACATGTCAAACGTTGTGGAACCAGTGGCGGTTCTAGACCAAATGTACCAGGGGGCATGTTTTCATGGGGGCACAGAAAAGCATGAAAAAAAAAAAAACAAACAAAAAAAGGCCAAGGGATTCAAATATATAAAAAGAAATGCATGAAGTAAAATTTCCATTCAATTAGGTTTAATTAAAATTAAGTGTCTTCATACAGGAAATATTTATTTTTGGCTTGAAAATGTTGATTTGGATTATCGTTAAAATAAAAATAAAAATCTCGTAGCTATATCAATATCCAAAAGATCAAATAAAGCTAATATTTGGAATATTAGGTCAATATACATTCATAATTTAGGAATTTTACATATTTTTAACTTAATTGTAGTTAGAATTACAGTTTTCTATAAAATCAGAACTAGAACAAAAACAAATAAATAAATAATCTCAGCTGTAAAAAATTGTATTATGTTTTTTGTTTTGAAAAAAACATTTAGCAGATTAAAACTGGGATCCTATCTCAATACCACTGAAGCTATCACCTTTTTGTTTTTAAATATTTGGTAAAGCAGAATTTTTTGAAGAAAAAAAATTAAATAGATCCAAAGTTACCATGTCTGTTCAAGTACATATTGTCATTAGAATTTCTTTTAGTGTTATATTTTCGGTACAGGGGCCATAACAGGGGCCAGGACATGGGCACATGGGCACATGGGCACTGGCCCCCGTCGGCCCCTTTCTAGAACCCTCCATGTGTGGAGCAGGGCTGATGTTGATCAGAAGAATAACTTATTTACATTTAGCACTTAAAATGTATAAATTGGTAGAACAGGAACTGAAGAATAACTGGATACAGGAGCACATTCAGAGAAAGAAAGGAATGAGAGATAGCATCAAGATCTGACAAAGAAATTATTAAACAGATTAAACTGCTGGGGAGGTGATTAAATAAAATTCAGATAACATTGGTCAGAAAGTACAGACTAAACTAAACTGAGGAACTGACAAAAAACAGATAAATCAAGACAGAAATGAACATCAAGAAAAACAGCTGACAAAAATAGTCTTAACAAAACACTAAGATAAATAGTAGAATATGAATTCAAACGAAATACAAATAGCAATTGTACAGTAGAAAAAAGTGGGAATTTCAGCTTTAAAAGACTGCAAAAACTCAAAATTGTTGCAGCCTAAACTGATCTAAACCAAAGTGATAAACACACCATTAAGATAAAAAAAAATATAATGACAACAAACCTATAAGCAGAGCTACAATGAAAGAATTTATATGTCAGAAAAGTCTAGTCAAGCTTGGAGCCAAATCAAACCAAGAAGCTGTGGGAAAAATGTGTTCACAAAGGCTGTATTTTATTAATGCTTTTATTAATGCTTCAGCTCTTTTGCAAAGAAGAATTTGCATAGATTTCAGTCTCTAGATGTGCAAACCATGTAGAGAGATATCCCAAAACAACTGCAGCTGTGAAGCAAAAGGTGATTGTATTCCACATCAAATCCCTTCAAAATAAATTGAAGTTTGAGGCTGAATCCTGTTAAAATATGAAAAATGTTCAATGAATACTTTAGCAAGGCACTTGTGTTTGGTAATTACATTACACTGAGCACAACACTGGCAGACATCACTGCCGCCGTGAAAACAAATCCTCTGAAGGATAAGACTCTGGGTGACTCATCCTATATTTTTTCTGTGTTTAGTGTTCATGGATTATTCTTTATCTGCATTTCACTCCACCATCTGGTCTGCTTCAAAATGAAATAAAAAAAATTCAACTTTGAAACTCCTTGTTTAATCAACTGCTAGATTACCGTAATAAACAAATTTTGTTGCTTTAGTTTTGATGATTTTATGAGTGGAAAATTGTCTTTTTTTATATTTAAACCAGACAACTAAAGCACCATGAGACACACAATGGAGCCAGAAAAACAGCCATATAAACAAGAGGAAAGAAAATGACAGCATCACACTGAATATGAATGAAATCTAAGAGGAATAAAATGTAGATAGTATTTGGCAGTTTGATTTCCTTTGATTCAACCTCGAATCTTTCAAAATGCATTTGATGCTACTTTTTTTTAATCTTCAGTCCAATATCTCCACTTCCATGAACACTGCCTTTCCCACGCCGCACGGGGTCGCTAGTGCCTGCCAAGTGGTGCAATCATGCAATGGGTTACTCATGTCCGATAACAACTTTTTATGCTTTTAATTTGGGGCGCACATGGGAAACACATTAATGATGCTGAAAAGGAATTCATGGATCTTTGCAGTAAAGATGAAATGATCTGAGTGGAATAATAAGAGGTTCACCTAACCAGTGCTTTGTGTTATAGTTATTCCAGATAGTTGAAATAATAGTTGTCTTCTCTAGTTGAGGGATTTGTGGAAGACGCCTCCCGTGGAGCGCCGCGGGCAGATGCTGTCACCGCTTCCTTCCCCCCTCTGCGCGTCTCGCTGCGCGCATTGGACGCGGCTGGCAGCGCATACGCTCTCTACTCTGCACACTGGACTCTTGGCTTTCCACACAAACACGGAAAGATGAAGCTCTGAAGTCGGACTTCTGCCAAATCCAAGAAACACCCCGAACCAGAGTCCAGTTAGGACTGATAATAGCGGTTCCGGCGCGCGCCGCAGACGTTGTTGGAGTTGCGCACAGGACTTTAATGAAACGACGAAGGCGCGGATGTTTGCTGGTTTCTGGCACAAAAATAACTTTTTAAATTCCACCGAGTCTTTCAGGACGCATGATGATAATAACACAGCCTCCTTTCGGACTTTACGCACTCCGCCGCAAACAACTTATGGGAGCATCCAAACAAACAGAACATCCATAAATGAGAAACTGAGCATCTTTTCTCATTTTTGGATGAAATTGAAGATGAAAAGAAAGTAATTCTGAACTGAGCATCATTGCTTTCGACCTCCCAAGAATCCCCCTATGGAAAAGCGTTAAAAATGCTGAAAGGATTGAAGCAAACAAGCAAGTTTTCATTCATTTAATGTGAAACATTTCTGTATAGAATTAAATATTGTTCATTTTTGCTCTGTCCAGTTCAGCTTGATTGGAAACAAATACCTCGGACGAAGCATGGCAGGTATCCCAGAAAATATGCGTTCGATTTTTATATGGATGCTGGATGACTTCCTCTGTTAATACTAAGAAATCTGGAGATGCATTCATTTTTAGAGGGGAATTCCTGCTTTATGATACGGAGAAACATGTTGCACATCCTGCTGCTGCAGTCGGTGGTGTTACTTTGGGGAGGTAAGCATCATTTCACCTTATCTTCCTTTTTTTTTGAAGTGCTGTGAATTGTGCAGCCCACCAACACACTCACCCACACACATAATAATGTAAGAAAAAGTAAATACTGTTGCCCACTTAAAATGAGATTGTCACATAGGAGAGTTTGTTTTTGGGGGGTCTATATCTCACTGGAGACACGCAGACTGCAGGACAGTCTGTCTAAAATCTATACCCTGTAAATAAAGTTAATATCTTTTTTTAATCACATCTTATGAAATTGGCTTAGGTGCACCTGTTTAACTCACCCACAGCAGCTTTGGTCTTAAATACAAATTTTCTCATGAATAATTTAATATGATAAAGATTATCTAGTGCCACAAAGTCACTGGGCTTTATTAACTCTGTCAAGTCATTTTACCTGCTGAAAAGTCACCTGAAACCCTGTAACTGTTTTCTATATAAAGTTATAAAAGATCTGTCTTTGGAAAAGCAGCTGTAGGTAAATATATTTCTAAAGGACTTATTACTGATTGTGAATGATTAGGCACGGGCTAAATCTTGTTGTCTGAAGCAAGTGACATTGCACCATTCAATTAGTGCTAGAAGCATGAGAACAACAGCATCTGTTTCGGCTGTTTAGCTGGCTGCATACACAGCAGAGATCTGAGGGCAGCTGGTGGTCTGGCTAATGAATCCCTGGTTTCCTGTGGGAAAAAGAATAGACTTAAAAGGCTCTTTGGGAATATGATCCTCTCAATTAAGGTGATTATTTTTCTCCTGATAGTACCTGACTTCAGTCATCAGGATTCAGGTGTATAAATGTTGACCTTTCAACAACAACAACAAAGAGAAATGGTCATTTAAAAGTAGAGAACAAATGTTAATTACTTTCACTCCTTGTTCCTGAGATGTCTGCTGTTCTGGATGGAGACCTCTAGGTCATTTTTAATTGCAAAAGTGCTTGCAGCTCATCCTTCTTCTTTTTAAATATAGAATGGACTAAATGTTTAGATATATTCCCTACATGGATCAAACACATGGTTTTCCCAAAAACATAGTCTTTGGTACATTAAACAGATTTAAACTAACTCCCACATCCTCATGCACATGCCGTGCACATATCCCATCTTGGAGTTTAATTGACTTCACCTCTGTTGTAAGCGTATGTGATTCACTGCCTTGAAGAGTCTGGCCAGGATGCCTGCCTTATGCCAAGGCTCTTATGCAGTCACAGCACACAGTTTGATCCTAACTGAGCTTTGTGTCTTATAGAACCTTTGGGGTACCTTCACGTTTTACAATGAAAAGTGATAAAAAAAAAAGGAAAAATTATAACACAGAGCAGGAAATGAAAGAAATAGATTTATGCACAAATAATGTTGATGCAGCACAACGATTCCTTAATTAGGTAGCAGAATCTTCCATTCTTGTAAAAAAAAAAAAACACTTTAGTTTTCATGTTTAAATTAAAAGAAAAAAAAGTAGAGAAAAACCGAATGTCATTCTAAACAATGCCTCGCAAAAAACTTTTTTCCCTTCAACTAATTCACTTTTTGACCCATTATAATTATAAAATGTTATATATTTCATTGTTGTTTTAAAGGGAAGACCATCAAAGCATGGAAGGGGTGTGACACTTGGTTTTATAATAGTTGTCTGTGTTTACAAATGAAAATCTGAACAATATGAGATTTATATGCATCCCGTTTTCTCTAATGTCTCTAAATGGACCCAGTGCAAACATTTAAGCTCCCTTAAGAAGTCACCTCATGGTGTTAATCTGTGTTGACTCTATAGAATGTCATTATCCACACAGTTGTTCTGGTATTTTTGTGGAAGACTGCAGAGGATTTGTGATTGTGGTAAAAATTCAACCTCCAGCAGGACAAAAATCTTTGACAAACATCCAGAGCTACATTAAAATAATCTAGATTGAATCACATTCATGTCAGTTCAAGTCTAAACCCAGCTCTAAATTTACCTTCTTAACGCCAAGTTTGTAAAACACAGCATTTAAACATCATTGAACAAATAAGTCTAGTAATGACATACACAAATATTTCAATAAGTTCAAAGAAAAAAATCCTGATATTTAAAAAAAATAAATTAGAAAGTCTGGGTGTCAGAGTATGCTAAGGAATCCCCAAAAAAGTTCAAAAACACACCACCGGACATTGTTTTCCAAGTTTGAAGACATTTTGCTTCACATCCACGATCACCAGCATATGCTAAGGAATAAATCACATTTTTGCATTTAAAAAAGTAATATACTAATATAACAGTTTTTATAGGTTAGGATCGGCTAGTATCTGTGACCTTTTGACTAGATTCTGTTCTTCTGTGTTTTTAAACCCTTTTTAGGATCTGATCTTAGTGAATGAGAATAACCTAACAGGTTAATACAGTTACAATAAGGTAGAAATGTAACAAATGGTACAAAGACCTGGAAAAGGGTTTTTAAAATGAATAAGAACTTGGTTTCAATGAAGGGAAGCTAAAAAAAAATCCATTCAATTCAATTATACTTTATTAATTAATGTGGCCTTACCTGAAGACTGTTCACAGTCTCTCTCCTTTGATTCATAAAGAAGTTGAGCTAATTCACCGAGCAGAATGGAGGAACAAATCAGTCACCAAATGTGCAAAGCTGGTTGAGACATTTGTCAAAAGAGTTGCATCTATAATAGCAGAGAAAGCGGGTTCCTTAAAGTGTTACCTCAGGTGAGGGTGTACAGTATGAATATACACCTTAAAAAATTGAATTCCATGTTTCCTTTTGCATGTGCTCTTTTTTGTTTTATACTACCACATTCTTAGTCTAGAAAGAAAACATCTCCTTTATTAACCTAGGCCTCCTGCTGTGAGGTACTGCATTGTTTATTATTTCCTCCCTTTGACTTATTTCTGAGCCCAAGAGGGTCCAAAACTGGACTAAACCAGTCTACATCTTTGAGTTCTAAATATGCAGCCAATGTGCTCATCTATGAGGTGTAATACGGCTTTCAGCTTTGCTTTTTTTTTAAAAATTGCATTGCAGTATTTGAGGTATTCACTAAAATAAAAGTATTTTTGACAATCAGTAATGCTTTTCCTTGCACTATGTAATATTAAAGGTTAAAACGACTCAGCTAATTGCATGTTTTCAAGTCTTTATCCCATTGCTGAGGTAATGATTCGATTAATAAATTAGTTGACCACTTTTTTTAAATAATGAAGTAATTTGATAGGTTCTGAACTATAATGGAAATATCAAATTTGCTCTTGGTCCGGGGGAGACCCTTCTTACTACTTCACCACTAACTGTTAGATCATCACACTTACTGTAGTGGACCTCAAGCTACTTAACCATGAATAAATAAATAAATAATTGTAAGTAAAATATGGATGTTTTGTCATAAGAATAAATCTTACGTACAAGAAAATTGCACACACTAAAGTAGGAGTCATGTGACTCCCACGTTCCTATATGTTTTCCATATTTCTTTGCGTCATCTGGGAAAATCATTTAAAAATATCTGAACCATGTGTTTTGCAGTAAGAGAGCATACAGTAAAACACTGATGACTGTAGGACTGGAGCTCCGGGGTTGGGGAACAAAACTGAAATGGTCTTTGTCGTTAGCGTGACACAAAGATTATATGAAATACACAAATTAGACGCTTTAAAGCGTAACATAAAAACATGAGCAGCATGTCGACTGGGTTATGAAAACTATATATCACATTTCATAAGAAATAATAATATTCAAACTTAAACATTTCCGGAAGTTTTGATGGAGTTTATTTAATTCCAGCTGTCATCCATCGTCTAACAGGTTCTGGCATTCTTCTCCATTATTTTTGAAATTTGCTGGCGGACTATAAAATATAAATGTTATTAACAGTCAGACTGATTCAACTTGACAGTAGTTATTCAACTCATTCCACAGTTTTTTTTTTTCTTCCATTTTTCCATTATTTTTGCTTCCTTAGGTGAGCTGTATGAGCTTCCTGTTTTGCTAGGACATGCACATTTTTCTCCTTCTGTTTTAGGCATCCAGAGGGAAGTCATAGATTTATGAAAATGTCCAGCTTTCATCATGTTTACGACAGTCTTTCCTTTGTATGATGTCATCTTCGGGCTGCTGCCTTCTGGGTGGTTGTTCTCTGCTCGTAGACAGAATAGACAGCGGGGCAGTGCTGGTAGCGCTTCTGCTGTTTACAAGATGTCAAAGCACAAGTGTAGCTTTAAAGACAATAGCATATGTGTCTCTGTGTCTGACAAAGGTGCCTAGATCTCATAGCTCACATTGGCATGAGAAACGTAAAAAGGCTGTGCGAGGGAAGATTTCTGTGGGAGCATATAGCTCTGATGGAACTAAAAAAAACCTTTTCAGTCTATTCTACTCGTAATACATTGAAAAAACATAATATATATTAAAAATATAATAAGTCTTTTGTATAAAAATGATAATTCCATGCAGTTGGTGATATTGTTACATTTCATTCGGCATGCAAATAAAAAATAAATACTCAGGAAAGCTAAAATGGCTAATTCACAGGAGTTGATCAAGTTTTACTTCATGCTTCGTCCAACACATGAATGTTGCAGATTCTGCTGCCTACTTTGCATAAAATCGTTATTAGTATTTGAAAAGTGTGAAGGTTCTAAACAAGATGGGACTGTGCGGAAGGAAAAATATCAGTCAGATCTGTGCTGGCAGCCTTTCTCATTGACCTGACGGATAATTAAAGGAAGGTGTCATGATTATAGCTTCACTGCCTTAAATGAGTCCCAAGATGCAGATGTTGTTTTCATTCTGCCAATTGTGATTGCTGGATCCAGAAAAATACCAATAACTGGGGGAGTAAACACATTCTGCCATATAGGATTCTCTTCATTTCATGAAATCTTCAGTTTAAAGATGATAGCAGATTTAAGTAGGTGTCCCCTCTTTACTTTTAATCTCTGTCATAAAGGATCTGGAAAAGATTTGAGGATCCCACATAGATGGACTGGCTACCCGACTAGGGTGTACC